GCGAGTTACTGAGTGGTAGTTGGTTTTGTAGTGCTCTTGAGTTTGAGTTTGATTTTAGGTTTTTGCATAGACGATACGGCATGAATGTTAGGCCTTCACATATTCGAATAATGAAACATTCGATTTGTTAGTCAGTTCCCTTCAATGTGGCTTTCTCTTTAGAGACAATAAGCAGAAATTTCTAGAAATTGTGAGTGACTCATTTTCAAAGCTGTAGTCCGTACTGGTCGCAAAACGATCTGTTTGGTTCTAAAAATCCGGGGCGTTCTGTATAGGTCCTTCTGACTAAATAACGGGACATTTTTGCAAAGTCCCCTTGAAAAGCAGTTACTGCAAGCGTTTTTTTATGTGTTGCATTGTGTGACATTTTAACGTGCTTACAAAGTTCTGTGTTCTAAACGTATTCTTATTACAAATCGATTTTGTGAAGTGGATATACAAGATTTTCAAACTTTGTTGTTAGATTACAGCAATTTGAATTTAAATTCATGGTAGACAGTCGTGTTGTGATGTGTGTGTCACTGTGTCTAGTGAGTAGTTTGGATTTTGAATTTAGAAACCTTACTTTTGGGGAAATACAAACAGGTAATTTAAAAGCCAGATCCGGAGAATATCGTCTGTTGTCAGGTGTAAACTCTCTTGCGTTGGAAGAAAACTATTGCTTTCATATTGACTGTGCATAAATGGTGCAACTACACTGTGGATAAATTGTGTCAAGGTATTTCAGAGCTCTGGTGGATAAAAACAATATTTTATTTACTAACTAACCTCTCACAGCAAGCCACCCTTTGCCTCTTTACTAATTGAGTATAATTATATGTTGAAGAAGTACACTAATAATATGAATCCTCAACCATTTGTGTTCATTTTTGTGAATCATCTTCTGCTTCGTGATCACTGGTTGTAAACTCTGGCAGAAACTTCTGGTTGTTCATCTAGTTCTTATGCATATTTGCAGTTGTACGGTCTGTGTTCATTTTTGTGAATCATCTTCTGCTTCGCGATCACTGGCTGTAAACTCTGGCAGAAACATTTGGTTGTTCGTCTACTTATGGGCTTTAGTCTTGTTCCAGACACTGTTTTGAACAACGAGACCCAGTATCTATAAGGGGAATTTTTGTGTTTGATATGTGTATGCTCAGCATTTGCAGTTATATGGTCTGATTTAATGTGCTTCACTTACCTTTAAAATAATATACCATTCTTGATACTTATAGGCGTTGTTGCATGCAGTATTCATACATATGTGTGATGTATTTTAACAGTTACCAAACAATTCACAATAAGTATGCATTCTTTGGGAGACTGCAACAGGTAGTAGATAATGTACCAGCCCATGATATTCTATGCATTATGGGAGATCTCAATGCAAAAGTTGGTAACAACAACTTGAATAGAGAATTATCAATGGGAAATCAAGGTTGTGGCACAATTAATAACAACGGGGAAAGACTGAGCGACTTCTGCACGGCGAATAGACTTGTTATAGGAGAAACACTATTTCCTCACAAGAATATACACAAGCTTACATGGATATCCACAAACAGAGGAGATGTAAACCAGATCGACCATTTCATGGTAAACAGAAAATGGCTTGGGTCTCTACTCGATGTGCGTGTCAAAACATGAGCAGATGTGGGAAGCGATCATCACCTTGTAGTTGCTCTACTACGACTTAAACTCCAAAAATTTCACACACAAGCTAAGACACAGACAGCACACTACAATGTCAACCTATTAAGAGAAAAAGACATTGCCACTAAATGTATAGTAGAACTCAAGCATAGATTTCAAACTCTATAAGGTGACCCAGACAGTTAAACTTCAATCAGCATTCAAGACAGATGGAACCAGATCAAAGAAACATACAAAACAACCAGCAAAAACATAGTAGGATACAGGAAAAAACACCACAAAGAATGGATAAGCAGTCAAACCATGGAGTATATGCCAAGCGAAAAAGAATAAAGAACCTCATAAATCAGAACGTCAGAAAGACAAATTGATATTAGAATACAGCGAACTAAAATAACATGGTAAAGAAAAGTGCCAGAAATGACAAGAGAAGATTTATGGAAAATCTAGCAGAAACAGCAACAAATGCTGCTAAAGCACATAATCTACAAACCCTACACAAACTTACCCAGCAAATCTGCGGAAGCAGAAACAATTACCAGAGCATACCCATCAGAGATAACCAAGGCCTACTGCTTACCACAGAACACCTTCAAAACATGCAGTGGATTAAACCTTCTCTAACCTCTTGAATAGACCTGATCCTGAACATCCTCAGATATTCAGCCAGCCTCTCAGGACCTTGACATTATTACTAAACCACCAAGCAAACAAGAAATCCTTTAAGCTATCCACACTTTAAAGAACAACAAAGCACCAGGCAAAGACGAACTGCCAGCAGAACTTCTCAAAGTAGATCCTAACACAACTGCTAACATTCTAGAACCATTGTTCAAGGATATTTGGAAAAATGAAGTATTGCCTGATGACTGGACTGGAGGAACTATAGTCCAAATCCCACCAAAAAAGGAGATTCAAAAGACTGCAATAATTGGAGGGGAATTACTCTAATCTCAGTACCAAGCAAAATATTTTGTAAAATCGTCATAATGCGGCTTGAAAAATGAGTAGATAAATGCCTACGAGTGGAACAAGCAGGATTAAGAAAGGGCAGAGGAACAACTGAGCACATCTTCACCCTACGTAACATTTTAGAACAATGCAATGAAAGGCAGAGAAGTATATATATTAATTTTGTGGAGAAAGCTTTTGACAGCGTCCATAGAGACAGTTTCTTGAAAATTTTACGACATTATGGAATTCCAGAAAAGATAGTCAACATAATTGCTCTCTTCTATAAAGACTTCCTGCAGTATAAAAAATTACAATACATCTTTCACAGTAAAGACAGGGATGTGTCATGACATCTCTCCTCTTCAACCTTGTGATTGATTGGATACTAAAAAACACAGTAGAAAAGACATTGAAAGGCATACGGTGGACTCCATTGCAGATGATATAGCACTGCTATCACATAAACATGAACATATACAAGAGAAAAGTAGCAGACTACACAGCACATAAGAAATTGTGGGACTGAGAATAAATACAAAAAAAAAAACAAAAAAAAAACTTAGATAATGACAAACAGTCCACACCAACAACCAGTGACCATAAGTAACCAATCACTTAAAAATGTAAAACATTTCACATATCTTGGCAGTGTGGCGTCCCTACTGTGAGGGACAGAGGAAGACATACAGTCACGCCTGATCAAAGCTAGAGCTGCTTTTGGAAGGATGAGGCAAATCTGGAAATCCAACAGTTACTGCAGAGGAACAAAACTCAGACTCTACAAGAGCATCATTTTGCCAGTTCTTCTTTATGGAGCAGAACGCTGGAGAATGACCAAAAAGGATGCACACAAGCTGTCTACCTTCCACCACACATGTCTACGTAGAATTATCAAAATTTTCTGGCCAGATACAATCTCAAACACTAAACTACTTCAAGTCACAAACCAAGAAATTCTAGACAGTACGATAAGCAAGAGAAAATGGAAATGTCTTGGCCACGTTATGAGAATGAATCCTGATATACCTGCCAAAACAGCTCTCACGTGGACACCAGAGGAAAAGAGAAAAAAAGGGGGGCCCAAAAAACAACATGGAGACGAACGATGGAAAGTTACCTGAGTGTGGCATCTTTGACATGGAAAACTGTATTGAAGATTGCACAGGACAGGAAAGCATGGAAAGTCCTCTCTGAAGCCTCATGTACCACTAGGTATAACGAGAATTGATGATTTTTTAACAGTTACCAAACATTTCACAATAAGTATGCAATCTAGGTCCCACGACCTATCTATACCCTCCTGAAATATTCCTGTGGATTTCTCCTGTTTGGGATAGGATATTATTAAAGCACCTACAGTTATATTGCAACCTTACTAGTCATCCCCTTGTGGGATGCAATTTTTCGTTATTTTGAAGCCCCACACTGGCTCTTGATAGGGGCCGCAATATAGCCCGGTCATAAATATGGTCTAATGGCTGAACGCGTTTTCTCGGACCTCCTCACGGGTGATTCTCATCCACATGGTGGCACTTTGTGTCATCGGGTGTTTATCGCTTGTGTGATGTCCTAGTGGGGTAAAATCTACTACTACTGTTTACTGGGACACCACAAAACGGTTACGAAGTAACCTGCCGTGCAGTGTGGGTGGGTTGTGTTTTGATAACTGCATTTAAAATTATTAACAGAGAACTGCATTTGTTAAAAACACTGGAATGTATTATTCCTTTAGTTTACCATTTTCCCCTCGAACACACAGACACAACACAGACACACGGTAACATAACACACATGCATACACACATGTTTACGTGTAATCTAATTATAGTTAAACGGAGATTTCCTAACTTATTCACTGTACCATCTGCTTGTGAAATTCTGATGAGGTAATACAGTATTTCAAAATTAGTGTACCCATCGTTTAGATAAATGTAATATACTGTAATAATAAACTTTAACAAAGTCACAGTCCTATCTCATTAAGTATTACAAGTCTATGGGATTTTTTTAAACCTGTGTGTGTGAAGCATTTCCTGTATGCACCTTTGCTGGTCGCAAAACGATCTGTCCTGTTCTAAAAATCCTGGTCCTTACCCACAGAAACCTGCAGATTACATCTGGCTGGTGTAAGGTTACAGTTATTCATTATAATTGTTTAGCGGTTGAACAGGGTACCTGAGATCTACCGTCCAGATTAGGATTTCTATATGTAGAATGCTACGGTAAAGCCTAGTAAGGGATAAGTGTATTGCCACTTCAAATGACCGAAAACAGTGTGCAGTTAGCAATGTGGCTAGCATTTATATTATTCTTTTATTCTTTGAAGGTGTGTGTAGTTACAATTTGGAAGAAATCTATTCAAGTCTAAGTCAAAGACAACACCCGGAAGTGACAGGATAGGTGACATCAAGATGTCAGATGATGTAACTTTTGATGCTATCCCAGAAGGTAATATTATTAAGAAAGTGACTGAATATATATATATATATATATATATATATATATATATATATATATATATATATATATATATATATATATATATATACATATAAAGATATATATGTGTGTGTGTGCGTGTAAGTAGGATACGACGAATTTAACTTGATTTTAGTTCGTACGACGAATACCTTGATTTAGTCTAATTTACAAATGCGAAAAAGTCTGGCTACTGTGTATGAAAAGGCCAGCGCACTCCGCAACGGTCTGATTTTGGCATCCGGACTAAACCCGCATGCGCTCAAGAGGCAAGAGACCTAGCTCATCTAGCAGCTGATGCACGATACAGGTGCTCAACAGCACGTGTTCGAGCAACTGCGTGGAAATGGTCGGTTGCCTGGCTGATTTCACAGCGATGGTATGTTTCCATCACGGCCAGCTCCAGATTTATAAGGCCGTACAGCTCAAACGGGAATTCCCGTTCTTGTGCAAGAATTGAGTCCCTCTGCGTCCACAGTTTTTATGGAGGAGATGTATACACAAATTAAACTACAGTTTCATTATTTTCGACATATTTTTTAGAACTATACGTCATTTTTAAGGTAAATAAGTGTGCCAATTAAATATAACAATAAAGGCTCTTACAGACAAACAAAAATGCTTTTGCTACAATAAAAATAAACATAAACATCAATAACGTTTAGATGTAAGCTAAAAGTTGTTCCAGCAAAAGTAAAGAAATATCAGTGCTAACTCTTTGATTCTGAGAAGGTATTGTTGCATCAGAAGAGCGGGGGAGGGGGGTGGGTGACATTTGTACTTTTATCAAATTTAGCGCATAAAAATACTGCTATGAAACATACACATGTCATACATAACTTAAATAAAAACGATTGATGGTTATTATTATTATTAGTAGACTATTACAACATATAATTATACTGTTATTTAATAATTAGTAAACAAGCACAATCAGTATGAAATTGATATGTGCAACAGTACTTATAGCACTACTAAATATGTATTCTCAAGGTACAAACATCACAAACAAATTTGTCCAGTTTCATCTTGTTGGGTAAAATCAATTCCTTATCATTGCGAATTTTTAGGTAACAAATATGTATAGGAAGTGGATGAACAACCAGAAGTTTCCGCAAGAGTTTACAGCCAGTGTTCGCGAAGCAAAGCAAAAGTCAGTTTACAAAAATTAACACAGACCTTACAACTGCAAATATGCAAAAGAAGTCGATGAGCAACCAGAAGTTTCTGCAAGAGTTTACAGCCAGTGTTCGCAAAGCAAAGCAAAAGCCAGTTTACACATATTAACACAGTCCGTACAACTGCAAATATGCAAAAGAAGTCAATGAGCAACCAGAAGTTTCCGCAAGAGTTTACAGCCAGTGTTCGCGAAGCAAAGCAAAAGCCAGTTTACAAAAATTAACACAGACCGTACAACTGCAAATATGCAAAAGAAGTCAATGAGCGACCAGAAGTTTCTGCAAGAGTTTACAGCCAGTGTTCGCAAAGCATAAGTCAAATGGTTAAGGATTAATATTATTAGTGTACTGCTACAACATATTATTATACTGTTAGTCAACAATTAGTAAAGAGGCAAAGAGTGACTTGCTGTGAGAGGTTAGTTAGTAAATTAAATATTATTTTCATCCACTTACCTAGAGCTCCGAAATATCTTGACACAATTTACCCACAGTGTGGTTGCACCATTTATGCACAGCCAATATGAAAGCAATAGTTTTCTTCAAACACAAGATAGTTTGCACCTGACAACTGTCGATATTCTCCAGATATGGCTTCTAAATTACCTGTTTATATTATCCCTAAAAGTAAGATTTCTACATTCAAAGTAGAAAAGTAATAAACAATCAGTTCCCGAAAATCCGAACTACTGACTAGAAACAGTGACACTGGCACACACATCACAACACGACTGTCTCCCATGATTTACAATTAAATTTGGTGTAATCTAACAGCTTGTGTGTCCACTTTACAATATCCGCTTGTCGATTTGTAATACGAATACAATCAGAACACAGAAGTTTGTAAGCATATTATAATGTCACAAAATGCAACATGGAAACGCTTGCAGTAACCTATTTTCGAGGGGACAGCCAAAATGTGCCGTGATTCAGTTGTCAGGGCCAATTTACAACCGGACGTGGTTTCCATGTTAAGTCTGAGTTTGTCTCTAGTAGTTAAACTGTGTGGGTAGATATATCAGTGTGTATCATCGCTAGGAGATAGGTTGATTGCAGGTCGTTATAAGCGATTTAGTGTTATGGTGATATATTGAAAATTAACGTACATGTTTAATATGTTTTGGTTTTCGCCATTGTTGAGGTAATTTTTTTGAGCTCATCAGTTCATTATTATATTTTCTTGTTAGCTGGAGATGATTAGCACTTTAGATATTGGTCGAGCACGTTGGTTGTTGTTAATGCGTTATTTGTGAAGTATACGGTAATGTTGTGTTTAGTTCAGTAAAATAAACAGCTGTTTTATGTGATGATTACAATTCATTTGCTTGATTCAATTTAGGATCTGTAGTCCGTGCACATGTTTCATCTAGGTGTCTGTAGCCATCTTGTGTGTTGATGTGGTGTAACAAAGAGTTGTTCAAATATCCCTTGTCTGGGTTCTGGTGGAATATTCCAAGATCCCTGCGCAGAAGAACGCTTGTCTTGTCTTTACTTTTCCTGTTTTTGCAGGTCAGCGAGGAAATTTTACTTTTTGTACCAATCACAGTTCTCCTTTATCTCCCCTACTTCCGTGTTTTTCCTTTTCTTTCTTTCCGCTAGCACACACACACACACAGCCACACACACACACACACACACACACACACACACACACACACACACACACACACATATATATATATTTATATATATATATATATATATATATATATATATATATATATATATATATATATATATATTTATATATGTTTAAAAAATGCACATCATGGACTGTAAATGTATTAATGATAAACGGTCTTTGCTGTCTATACAAACTACTTTTTAGGGCGGTATAGACAGAGGGTATGGCTAGTGCTGTCGCTACGGACTATGGTGGTTAAAGTGTTATATTTTGCCCCTGACAGACAAACTTCATTACCTAACCGGGGGGTCGAACCCCAGTTTCCCGCCTGTATCCCGATATTGTAACCACTCTGCCAGCCGCTCCTTAATGAAATAAACAGCTGTACTCAAAAAGGACATCAACACACAGAGAAGTAAAGAAAAGGACCCCTTTCTGGCCATTGACTCATAGTCTGTTCACCAACCAACCAAATTTAAATATCAGCAAAAATGTGTTCGGATCAAGGGAAACGAAAAGTGAAATCACAAAAACAGATAAGTAGCAAAAGACTTGTTTTCGAACAACACCCCCCTCCCCCACTACCCCAATAGGTTAGTTGCGTATCTTTTACAGAACGTTGCAGAACCAACCCCAACAGCCCCTGGCTGTTGTGTGGTTTTTCTTGGCAAATTTACGTCCAGTAGTTTGCCATTGCTTTCTGGAATGTCGGCTTTCTTGATACCCCTGTCGAAATCAAAGCAAGGCGCATGGCCCGCAGCAGGGATCGAACCCGGCATCCCGGCATTACGAAGCGTTCGCATCCACTTAGCCACAGAGCCGAGTCACTACCCCAATACCTTTTCAAAAAAATGTGTTTGAAATAAAAGTAGTTTACACATCAAGCAAAAGGCATTGGTTTGTCTAGAGTTAGCCCATAAGGTTTAGAATCCTCCATAAACTAGTCTGGTTTTGATTCGGCAGTTCACGATTCTGCTGTGTGAAAGAGATTGCACTGCGCATTTGTCAATACTGTAGTTCAGTTGTTCATACTAATCGCAAAGGACAGAATATCTACATGTTTGGATTATTCTTGTTAACAGTTGTTCCATTGTAAATAATTATTTTGAAATAAAAAAAAAAAAAACTCGTACAGTTTTATAATGTCACGGTATCATTTTATATCTAAGAAGAAAGTTAAAGTTAAATACATGAGATCGCAATATGGATCCTGAAACCCCACGCTCGAATCGCGGAACACTTCTACAAACGAGTGGGTCTTGCTGGTAAGACTCATCCTCATTTGAGGCTGTGATTCCCATGCCTCGCTATATCAAACAAAATTGTCTGGAAAAGCATGAAGATTCGAAACAATAAAAAAACAACACTTACTAACTGTACACTGTGTTTTCCATCAAACCTTAATTTATTTCGTATTGATAAATAAATTTCAGAAAATCCAGAAAGCAATGATTTTCAGGGATGCGTAGCTTCAAGACAAAGATCTCCAGAAGTCTCAGGTAAAGTGAAAGATTCATCCATAGTCTGACAGATATATTGCTGACTATGTTAAAGTAACATATCTATCTTGAACACCATGGTCAAAATATATAAAACGTTGATAACACCAGTAATTGTATATGGTACTAAAACTTGGAGCCCAACTAGAAGAGATGAAGCCTTATCACAAATTTGTGAAAACTGAGTCTTAAGACGAATATTTGGACGCATCAAAGATGCAGATAGCAGGAATAGAGAGTGAGAAACAACAATGAAATTCATAATCTGTTTAAAACACCACTAATCACTGGCATCATGAGAGCTAATAGACTGAAATGGCTGAGGCTTACTGAAGGAATGTCAGATGACAGAGAAGTTAAAAACTGTATACACGAGGGAGATGAATGGTCGTAGACTACGAGGCAGACAAAGAAGACGATGGAGAGATAATGTATAGACAGACCTACAAAACTGGGTGTCACCAGCTGGACAGAGAAGACCAAAACAGAGAGATAAATGTAGGCGGGTGATATCTGCAGCAATGACCCTCAAGGACTCTGAATGCTGAAGAAGAAGAACAAGAAGAAGAATGTTTAAGAAACACCTGCATGGAGACAGCATTCCACTTCCACAGCAATGACATGTACAGTGGCAGTTACAACCTCCCTGTAGTATCTTGTGATGTTTATCCATGCTGTTCTCACTGAACAAGTCAGAAAGAATTACAGGAAATGATAGACATTGTGGTGTTAGAAAGTGGAAGAATGGGCCTCAGTTAGAATAATGGGAAGACAGAAGTAATGGTGGTATCAAAGAAACAAATTATTCCTAAATGTGTAATAAAAGTCAATGGTGTTATTTTAGGACAAGTGCAGAAATTTAAGTATCTGGGCACATGGATAACATCATATGGAAGATGCATAACTGAAATAAGAAACATAATTGGACAGGCAAAAACTGCATTTTATAAAATAAAAAACATCTTGTGCAATATATCCTTGTCATTGAGAGTTAGAAAAAGAATTCTTGCTTGCTACATACATCCAGTTTTAACATATGGATGTGAATCCTGAACAATCGGTAGGCAGGCCAAACAATTTTTAGAGGCCTCAAAGATGTGGTTTACAGAAGAATGCTTAGAATACCTTGGACAACAAAAAAGAGCAACCAAGAGGTTTTGAAAGAGGCGGGAGCTTAAAGACAACTTATCACAGACATCAGAAGGAGACAGTCATAATTTTTCGGCCTTGTTATGAGAAGAGGGAAAATAGAACATGTTGTGACCACTGGAAAGATCTGTGGAAAAAGGGATAGAGGAAGACAACGAGAGAAGATACTTGTCAGTCTTGTTGCATGGCATGGAGGTGTGTCGGCACCCGAACTAATACATGCTGCAGGAGATCGCAGATTATGGAGAGGCATGATCGCCCACGCCAGTCGGCAAGGCACCTGATGATGATGATGTTCTCACTGATCATTTCCTGATAAGGAATTATTTGTTAGCTTTGAGAGTATCCGGTGTCAGGTTTTCTATCAAAAGTCATCCCAACGGAGAAAGTTCTAATGAATTCTCAAGGACTGAACTACATTCCGTTATCTGTAATAGTTTCCATATGTGTAATGGTATCCAAGAGAACATTCTGGTTTCTCTCATTAGATATTAAAACTATGGTAACATTCCACATACTTTATTGTCATCATCGTTGTCATCATCATCGTCATGATTGCATTTGCCGTCATCATGTTGTGCATTCACATGTCATGCAGGGCTTATAGTCCATTCCTTGATTCAGGCATGTTCTTGCAATCCTATTCAGTTGAATTATTGCGATATCACCGATAGAATCCATCGCAGCATGATTGACCGCTCTCATCAACGTTTGTTTGAGGGTTTATCTCAGACTTTTCCGTTTTTATGCCAGAGATATTAAAATAAGAATACAAAAGGCAAGAGGGGCTTTCATAGCACTAGGGAATTTGTGGAGGTCAAAAGAAATTAAAAGAAATACTAAACTAAAAATTTTTAATTCTAATGTCAAATCAGTACTATTGTATGGGGCGGAAACATGGAGAACAACCAAGGCAATTACTAATAAATTACAGACATTCATTAACTGGTGCCTGCGCAGAATAGAGGGAATAAAATGGTATGATAGAATAACTAATGTAGAACTTTGGGAGAGAACTAAACAGGCTCCAGTGGATCAGGAAGTGAGGAAAAGACGCTGGCGTTGGATAGGGCGCACACTGAGAAAACAGGAGAACAGCATAACTAGAATGTCTTTGCATTGGAACCCACAGGGGCATAGGAATAAAGGAAGGCCAAAAAACACACGGAGAAGAGAGCTGGAGAACGATGTTAGAAAGATTGGGAGGACACGGGGAGAGCTCCATGCAATGGCGAAGGATAGAACGACTTGGCGTGAGTTGGTTGAGGGCCTATGCTCCATTGGGGGATAGAAAGGCAGAAGAAGCCAGTCCATTTATTTCCTATTTAAACGCATCTTTAGTGATTCTTCTCGATTTTTAACAAAATAGGCGCAATATAACCGCATTTTCTTTGTTTTATCAATGTTGTCTCCAGTGGCCGTGAAGAAATTTTTTGAATTCGTCCCATTTAATGTTCATCAACCCCCATCTCCCTTTTTTTTCTCTGTCTTCCTCTGCCTCTCTTCCCTCCAACTTTCCTATTGTCACAGTGTACTCCAATTGTCTTATTCTCATCACATGATCGAAGAATGAAGATTGTCTCTTTCTGATGTGGGTAATGTTCTTTCCTGAGTCAGTTTCTTTCAAGACATCTGTAATACTCTTTTTATCAGGCCTGGGTATTCTCATCATTCGTCTATAAAACCACATCTTTGCAGCTTCTAAAGAATGTTTCACCAATCTACCAACTGTCCATAATTCACTTCCCTATATCAGCATATGATTTATATAGCTTTAAAGAATTCTTCTCTTTCTCGTCTCAATTGACAAAGAAAGATTGCATTCTTCATTTGGTAAAATGCTGCATGCCATATGCATTTTAAAATTGTGTTTTAAATTTATTTGTTAAGCTATAATTCAATTACTAAATACAGATTTATTTTTCAGACAACCAAGAAATTGATGTCAACCAGAAGATGCTTAATCTGAAAGTGTCAGATGAAAAGAAGAATGTACCGATACAACCAATGAATGATTTTGATGCTGATGAATATACGCCATATAATGACTGGTTTCCTCCAGATCTAAGAAAGAAGTTAAACATAGCCATTATGCATGCTGATAAAGACAAAGATGAAGCAGATGACGTGAGGATGTTAATAGAAAAGAATGTTCAACTGACGATAGATAGAAAATGTTTCAGGCCAAGAGTGGAATTACTGAGCAATGTTTCTTCAAGTATGAAAGATGACCCACTTGATACTGTCTTGAAAGAGGCTGATTTTCTGTTTGTCTACGTTACAAATAATTTTACAAACTGTGATTGGTCTAAATATCAGGGTATGTCAAGTTTGAAGGTTATAATGGCAGGAGATAAACAGTGTACTTTGATGTGTATACACACTGATCATTCTAGTATCAACAACTTGCCAGCAACATTGAATAACGCACCTCGATTAGAATATTTTCTAGGGAAACCGAAACAGTTTTTAGAAGATATAGAAAGGCAATTATATAAGAAAAGTGACAAAATATTAACGCATAGAAGTGAACAAATTGAAAGAAGAAGGTTACATTTCCAAAAATATTCTCACAACTGGTCACTAAATCATGAATCAGGCACAAACAGAGGCCCAAACCTTCTTCAGGAGACGAAGTCATCAAAAGATGGTAAGTTTTCACAGCATGGTCGAATATAACAATCACTAATTTAAACAAAAGAGGGACATATAGGGACTGCAAAATAAGCATCTTCGTCTGTCCTGGGGCATAATTCAAGTATGTCCATGCCTGTTGTATTTTTTTTTTAACGTATCCAAAAACCATGAGTTGTAAACCCTTTGGCTCGGTACTATGGATATCGCAACCCTTCGGCATTGATTCAATTATAGGTACCGTTAATCTGGGAGAAATGTGGCTTTTCTGCCTACCCCCGGGAGTGAACCCGGACCACAAGGAGTTCGTCACCCGGCCGCCGCGAAAGTCAGGTTTAACCAACTTCGCTAGAGAGCCGGGCATGTCCATGCCTGTTATAAATGTCCATGCCTGTTATAAATGTCCATGCCTGTTATAAATGTCCAGGCCTGTTTTATAAATGTCCATGCCTATTGTATGAATGTCCATGACTATTGTATGAATGTCCATGCCTATTGTATGAATGTCCATGCCTATTGTATGAATGTCCATGCTTATTGTATGAATGTCCATGCCTATTGTATGAATGTCCATGCCTGTTGTATGAATGTCCATGCCTGTTGTATGAATGTCCATGCCTGTTTTATAAATGTCCATGCCTGTTGTATGAATGTCCATGCCTGTTTTATAAATGTCCATGCCTATTGTATGAATGTCCATGCCTATTGTATGAATGTCCATGCCTATTGTATGAATGTCCATGCCTGTTGTATGAATGTCCATGCCTATTGTATGAATGTCCATTCCTATTGTATGAATGTCCATGCCTATTGTATGAATGTCTATGCCTATTGTATGAATGTCCATGCCTATTGTATGAATGTCCATGCCTATTGTATGAATGTCCATGCCTATTGTATGAATGTCCATGCCTATTGTATGAATGTCCATGCCTATTGTATGAATGTCCATGCCTATTGTATGAATGTCCATGCCTGTTGTATGAATGTCCATGCCTATTGTATGAATGTCCATGCCTGTTCTATAAATGTCCATGCCTGTTGTATAAATGTCCATACCTGTTGTATAAATGTTCATGCCTGTTGTATAAATGTCCATGCCTGTTGTATAAATGTCCTTGCCTGTTGTATAAATGTCCATACCTGTTCTATAAATGTCCATGCCTGTTGTATAAATGTCCATATCTGTTGTATAAATGTTCATGCCTGTTGTATAAATGTCCATGCCTGTTGTATAAATGTCCTTGCCTGTTGTATAAATGTCCATACCTGTTGTATAAATGTCCATACCTGTTGTATAAATGTGCCTGCCTGTTGTATAAATGTCCATGCCTGTTCTATAAATGTCCATGCCTGTTGTATAAATATCCATGCCTGTTGTATAAATGTCCTTGCCTGTCCTACTAGGATATGATATCTATATAACCTCATTAAATGCAATTTTTGCATTGTATTGGGTACTGATGGTCCTGCATATGCGAGCCTTGTTTAGCTTAGAGGGGAAGAAAGGTATGTAATACAGCCCCTGGGAAATAGTACTTTGATACCTGGTCTAAAGAATAGTCTGTACGCCAACCTTATCCCGGCATCCGCTAGATTTTTCAGGTCGCAGACGACGGTTTGGGATCTAAACATAACACCTTCAGATCCACAGGCGAGCGTCTGATCGCTGTACCACGGTACTTGAACAAGCAATGAGAACTCTAAATTAGAAGATGTCATTCCAAAAGAAAGGAAAAAAGAAGAAGAAGAAATTAAACAAGCAATGAGAACTAAGTAGAAGATTCCGCACACACACACACACAGACAAAATAAGAAATTGAACAGTCAATGAGAACTCTAAATTACGAGATGTCGCCAGGTAGGTATCCAACAGATAAAAGCACACAACTTATTTATACTTTAAAAAAGAATTTGATAAAGTATGCATGAAAAGAGGAAGAAGAAGAAGAAGAAATTAAATAAGCAATAAGAACTAAGTAAAAGATTTCACCCCCCAAAAAGAGAAGAAATTGAACAATCAATGAGAACTCTGAATTACAAGATGTCGCTAGGAAGGTATGCAACAGATAAAATCATACGACTTATTTATACATTGAAAAAGCATTTGATGGATGAAGAGAGGTAACAATTCCATATTATTCCTTGTCATAGATACCCGTCAACATCCATTATTAAGTCATGCTAGCAAAATCCTCTTACGGATTATCATGAAAAGGATTGAAAGGAAATTACAATATGAGCTAAATGAAGCACAAGCGGGTTTCAGACAGGGTACAGGATTTATGGATCACATCTTTATTATGAAATTTTTGAAAAATGCAGAGAATACAACGTAGATCTTTATGATTGTTTTATTGATTATAGCAAGGCATTTGATTGCGTCCAACACCACAAACTGTGGACTATTATGAGAAGTATGGGGTTTCCAGCGCATGTAGTGCATTTAATTGAAAATCTTATCATGAACAACAAGCAGCCATCAGAGCAGGCTGGTGAAACATCTGATTGGTTCGAGGTGCAAAAGGGGGTGAGGCAGGGGTGCATTCTCTCACCATACCTATTCAATATATACGCAGGAAATATAATGAGAAATGTCAAAAATGACCAGACTTGTGACAGTTATGATCCGCTCAAAATTGGTGGCAACCCTATTCCGGAACTCTGCTACGCAATTGACACAGTCCTCCTTTCGAACAGCGTAAAGGGAATAGAAAATTTAATATTGTTTGTCTAAAAGCACAGTGAAGATCAAAATCTGTTCTTGAATATAAATAAAATGAAAAAAAAAAAAAAAAAAACGAAAATAATGTCCACAGATAAAACTGGCTGTCACCCAAAAATAACAATAAATGATAAAGAAATTGAAAATGTCACAAACTTTGAATATCTAGGCTCTATAATAAACAGCAATAAAGACTGTTCGACAGAAATTAAAAGGAGGATGGCCATAGCAATGCAAAGATTGAACAGCCTTAAAAGTCTATGGTTAAGCACCAGCAAGGAGATAAAAAATTATAATTTTGAGAGCATGCATCTTCCCTGTAACTACATACGGATGTGAGTCGTGGATTATATCTCAGTCCTTAAGAAAGACAATAAGGGCTTTTGAGCTGAAATACTATAGAAAGATTCTCAGAATATCTTGGACAAAGAAGAGGAGAAATATTGACATTTTGAAAGATCTGAACATCAAGGCAGACTGGCTAATAAATAGCATCCTTTCTCGAAAGCTGAAATATTCTGGACATATCAAGCGCCACGACGGACTGGAAACAATTATAGCAGAAGGCATGGTACCAGGATGGAGGGGCAGGGGCCGACCGACACGAAGACTGGCACAGGATATAAATGACTCCTTGAGTATGAAAGTACATGAGGCAGGAGAACTGGCGAGAGACCGAGTTTCTTTCAGGTAGACTGTGATAAGAGCGACGTTCTGCAAAGGACCTGCTACATGATGTTGAGTTGCCGTCTTATGCCGCTTTCTTTAACGCACTGAAAATTACTAGTGATAGATCTGTTTTTGTCTGCTTTATACATGCTTCATGGGTCTACCTTTCCCTCTTTCCCCAGCTATTCCCTTTCTGTCACTCTCCTCTCTGTGTTTCTTCATGTCTCACCATGTAATCAATCTACACGAGTCCCGCTTTTCAATATGTTCCGTTGATAGTAAATTATATTTAAAAAGTAAAATAGCTGTGCAGTTAGCTCAGAGAACACAGTCTATTGTTTGTAAACATACGAGTAGTGAAGTAAAAGTAAAGGACCCCTTTTTTCCACGCCCTAATGTGGGTATTGGGCATATAGGGCTACACCTGCACTGGGTGGGTGATTGGTTAATATCACACCGTCCGCCTTTACTTCAAAAGACTATACATGGTAGACACTCAAGACTGGGTCGACCGGAGAGCCAATGTCATTTCTGAAAAAGAAGTGTAGCTCCGTCAGGACACGACCCCACGACCTTCCATCCACAGTCTAGCCGCTACACCCCGGCGACTCCCCTTTTAAAACACACTTTCACTCAAACCCCCTCCTTTTCTGTGTCTCCACCCACCACTCTCTCATTTTTGTCTTCCATTGGCAAATTTAAAATATGGGTTATATAACTTACATTTTTAAAACTTTCAAATAATAATGTCAAATGTTTGTCCCAGGTGCTGCTGGATACGATAGCAGCAACAAGTCAATGAAACCACAGCCGGATTATCCGAAAGTCAAGAAACCCAGCAATGCGGTCAACAACAACTTATTGAGATGAGCAGCCGCAAAAGCACTATTGTGGGTCATTGCCTCTACACATTGTAAGGTTTAACAATAACACTTAGGTCATGAACTATATATTGGAACTAGACTTCTCATAATTTTGCAGTGGGGCTTTGGTAGCCATGTCTATCCACAACCTTCTCTCTCGTGTACTTTCAATCCATTCTGACTCAGATGATCATCCATGCCATTATGTTAAACTGTCCAGCATTGTCTTTCAGTGTCTCCATCTGCCTGTTTCCCCCGCTAACTTTCCCACCATCACGATGTACTCCAGTTTTCTACTTCTTATGAAGGGACCACTGGATGTTGACTGTCTCCTTGTGATGTAGGCAATCTGTTCTCCTCATAAGTTAGTTTTTTTTTAAAGACAGCTCTCTTAATCTTGGTGTGACAAACCAACGGAATATTTCAGTCCGGCAAGAGTTTATTGCATCTTGTTGGTTAAAACAATTGCGCACTTTAAATAAATGTAGATGCGGGAATAGTGGTAAATGTTCTATACCTGGTGTCCATTCAAGGCGAAGTCGACCTGGGTTTGTCGGGACTCGAACTAAACGGCCCCATCCTAATGTGAGCGTTTGACTGCTACATTATGTCGAGTTTCATGTGCTAGTGCAAAGAATTGTGTAATTATAAAATTATATTATACAATGTTAGGGAGGTTTATTATTGATGTTATTTATGCTCGTGGAGAAAGACAGTGTATGTAATACCTTGCTCTCCTCCCTAACTACACTGATAACACCACAAACACCGCGACACTTCAACCCGCCACAAATTTGTCAGCATAATCCTCACCAAAAAGATAACTGATGCATTTTCCAGGTTCCCCATAACCACCGTAGATTGCCAACACTGGAGAATGAAAAGAACTGAGATCTGAATTTAACTAAACATACTACACATTGAGGACAGCCAAGAGCTACTAAAGTTGCAAGTTAGATTGTTCCGTTCGCCAAGGAATGCTGTATTCCACCCGAACGAACTTAAAGTTGAGTGACGTTTGAGATTGATTTGAATTGCTTCGGTGTATTGATGTATTTCGGCTCGCCTTGCAATAACGGTCGCTAGTTGGACGGCGACGGCCGCTTAGTCGGAGTTCAGTCCCCTGGCTGCAGTGCAGTTACGGAGTGGACAAGAGGGAACGACACAAATGACATAATTAGGGGTAGGGTTAGGGTGTGGGTTAGGGTTTGGGTTAGGGTTTGGGTTAGGGTTAGGGTTAGGCTAATGTGAGTCGCAGCGCGTGGTCTAGACGCCGTGTTGAACTCACTGTGTTTTGTGATTCGTGCCTTGTCCACTCCGTAATTGCACTGCAGCCAGGGGACTGAACTCCGACTAAGCGGCCGTAGCCGTCCAAGTAGTGACCGTTATTGCAAGGAGAACCATTTCGTGTGACTCAGCTATCTGATTATGTCAAATGGTATCTGTTTGAATTCCTTGTTTTGATGAAGTATTTTACTCTTTGATTCCTTTGAGTTCAATTAGGAATGTATTGAACTTTGAGTATTAACAAGTTTATTTAGAAGAATTAATATTTATTCAGTAATTTTCCGGGGATTAACCCTATTCGTATAATTATCTGAGTTATCAGACTGTATTGAATTCCCTTCCTTTCTATGAACTCAGGGACCAATAAATTTCCCCTAGACAATTTTATTTCGAGCCCTGTAAAACAATAATTTAGGAGGGATTATAGGGGATCTCCAGTCGGGGATATATTCCGCCAACTAAGCTTACGACACCTGGCCAGTGTAAACTCACCATTCGTCTATAAAACCACATCTCCGCTGCGTCCATATACTTTTTCGGTCAACTGTCCATGATTCACTTCCTATACCAGGATATGATTTATATAACTCTTGAGAATTCTCTTTCTCGTCTCAGTTAAAAAAAAAAAAAAAACATTTGCATAGAAAATTCTTCATTTTCTAAATGTTGCCTTCGCTTAAGCTAATCTTTATCTAACTTCTTTTTATACATCTTCTTTATGGTATTATTAGGGTACTCAAATATTTAAACGTATCAAGCTGCTTGAGGATTGTTTCATTTACCTTGATGTTGCAGTTTAGAGGGTCATCTTTTTAATTACCATTACTTCTGTTGTTTTCTGCTGTTCAACTAAAGACCCCTGTTTGGACTGTCTGCTACAGTTATGTCCATCATTACTAGACTGGATACAAAATGTACATTATTTTGTCATTAATTTTAAAAAAAATGAAAATAACGATTCTAGTTGAACAACACACAACGTTAAACTGTCTACTCATAATAACATGTATCCTGTAATACCGTCAGCTAACACGTTATCACAGACTACAGTCTTTCACCATGTACAAGTCGCCAACAGTCACTGTGTCGCTAAACAAACCAACTACAAAAACTAGCGGTCAAAACACACGATGCATTGTCCTGTTTTGGTCTCTACAGCAACACCCCTCAACAATTCACGCTTCAGTTTTGTTCAGTCAGCCCCTGAAAGCTCGGTCAACAAGATCTCGTGAATCATCAAGTCTACTCGGTCTGTCAGGGTGTACTGTAAGAGTGTCCGTGAGCTGTTCAATGTGCAGACAGGTTCGCGGTCAAGTCAGTAACCGTCTATAATTTACTATCATCACCCTCTATTCATCCATAGCCGGACAGGCCACTGATACTGCTGAAGATGACGAAGGGTCACTTATGTGAGTGATCTAAGTGCTTTGATATTTGTTCTGAACATAACTGTACTCAGCTCAGTGTGGTTCTGGGCTCGAACCCAGTGTGGTGGCAATGGGTACCAGTAGGGTACCAGATGGGTTTCCAGATGTAACCTGCATTATTTTACGGGTACGTAAGAGTAGGTGCAAGACACATAACATATGCTTGTGACTGTTTGTCGTATATTGTGTAAGTTCTGTTGGTAACAGTTATTTCTTTTATTCTGGTAATTGTTACAGACAGTATAGTGCTTTCACAATAAATATAATTCAATGACTGGTGATTATTTTTAGTTCTATGTCTATATGCTTGTTATAGAAATAGCATTTATGTGTCGTTTTAAATTCTAAAATACATACCAGGGCAAGCCTCATGTACGCAAAATCACCACTTACAAGAAGATGAGATGTATGAGTAATCATCCGAGATCGAGCGAATGAATGAATGAATCAAGAACTGACATCATTGCACTCGCGATATTTCCATATGTGCTCCGTCCCCTTCTTCAGTAATCAACGAAGAATTGACACCTATTCCCACTTCAACGTTGAATATCGTCCGGCTCGCTAGCGTAGTTGGCTAAACCTGACTTTGCGACGACGGGGTGACGAACTCCTTGTGGTCCGGGTTCACGCACGGGGGTTAGCAGAAAAGCCACATTTCTCCCAGATTTACGGTATTTATCATGGAATCAAGGCCGAGGGGTTGCGATATCCATAATGCCAAGCCAAAGGGTTGAGAACTCATGGTTTCTGAATATAAAAAAAAAAAATCGCCTAGAAGCTCTACAAACTCTCTGGTTGAAGTAGTCTTTATTGTAGGCATCTTTTGCATTTTCTTTTTGATCCCATAGAGCTTTCATTACGTCCACTTTATCATATAGTAGCTAACCGCCCAGAGGAGCGACGTCAGCTAATCTATCAGCCTGCTCGTTACCTTGCAAACCTAAATATCCTGGACAGAAAATCTATGATATACGTTTGATCTGGATCTTATCAAATGATGCAAGCCACTCTGTACGCAGGACACGAGTTTCAATTTTCCGAAGCACGCTCTTGAGTCTGTTACAATTACAACATGTCAGCCTGTGCTGCTCTCAAGCCACCGGAAAGCTGCCGTTACTGTCTCCACCTCCATTCTTATACTGGATGTAGTGACGTTGAACGCGACACTATCGGTTTTCAAGCAGTGTCCATTCACCTTTGCAATAAAACCTCATTCACTCTTCTTCGCTCTCACCACAAACCAATCTGTATATATTTTGTCACCTGTACGTGAATTTTCATTGCTCAACTCTTGCACCGCTGTCTCTGTTTCACCACCTATCTATTGCCCGCACCCTCGGTCCAAGGTAAACATCACTCAGTGCAAGTCTGTTTTGCTGGGTGGCACTGTAACCAATTCTTTGCTATGCGCTAATTTGTCAGTAGTACAGTTCTGATCGTGACTTGTGCTTGTGCCATTCAAGAGCCACCACTTTTCAGCCGTTGTCCTTTGCTATTCACTAAGACTCCATTCAGAAGTTGTTCCCTGTCCCTTGCAACTTTTAGGTACATTTTCAACTGTAAAACCATGTATCTCTCATATACGGATGACAATGCAAGTAGATGCTGCATGGGCACAATTGGCGTACCTCGTGTATATTCCAAAATGACTCGCATGACTTGATTTTTAATGCTTTCCAGTTTCTCTCAGCTTGGGTATGAGATAATCTTAGCAGTCCCAAAACATACTCTATCACCGAAATAATCAGTTGCTGGTAGATTGTATAAAGCATTTTCTGTTCCATGTCCGCTTATGCCATCACCTCCAAATCATCGAGTCCTTTCCCTATCTTTAAAACTTTTCCGCATGATATTTGAAAGACAGATTCCCGAGAAAAGTATTTCCTAGATATTTTGATGAATTGCCTTTCTTTATGTTACTGTTATTTGTTGTGATGTCCGGCAACAGATCTCTAACTATTGTATTAATTTAAAGAACACCACAACACTGCTGCCTTATCAGGACTGATGACCGAACCTGTTTCCTCACACCACTCTCTGACCTTATCTACCACAAACTGCAGTTCTCTAGATATTTCTGTTCTGTTTCTCCTCTATGTGAGAACTAGGACATCTTCATCAGAAGTCAAGATTCTCCCTTTACCCACTGTCTCTACTGCCGTTATTCTGCTTGTGTGTCAATTCAAAAGCACTGGGGAAATGGTGGAACCCTATGGGAGGCCAGGTGAGATACTGCATAGTTCGGAACTCCACGAGTCTAAGCGAAAGGCAATCTGTCTGTCATACAGGA